CACTGATGAACTTTTCCCTGTTAGTCCATTACTACATAACACACTTAATAAAACTCCATATTAACCTGGACAAGATGTCAATATTGCCCAAACTGGCAAACTCAAAAGGATTCCTCATAACAACCAAGCCAATTTCGATATGAACTATAAAGAGAAACCATTACAACACTACTAAAGAAAACTGTTAATGATCATGAGACCATTACTAATAAAAACTTTTTCATTGTAGATTGTAGTAATGCCATATTGCAGGCAAATCTGAGTGACTCACTCATTGTAATGAGAAGATAAAAACAAAGACTTAAAGCAAGGGAACCAACCATTTGAACCTCAATTTAGACACTTAGAGAGTGATATTCATTATAACTCGTCGGCGTGGGAGTAGTGACAGTGAATCAATGAGTGATGTCGCAACTTTGGAATATTATTGTGAATTTTGAGTGTCAGCTATAAAGTCACCATAAAGAGTCTGAAGACTGAAGTGTAAATCCTAAAGGCTAAAAGTGTCTAAGGCCTTAAGTGATATAAATGTAATTAATTAAACTTCTGATCGGGTTATCGAGGCACCTGGTTAGAAATATGGCCAAACTGAGACCCAAACTAATAAGCCGATAAGAAGTTTATAGTAAACCGAGACCCGAACCCTTAAATCATTAATCCGAACCATTGACCCAATAACCAAATTATTGATTCGAATCATCAATTTTCGGTTCGATTTTGAACAGCCCTAATGTATTGTCTTACAAAACTTAATATGTAGTAAAGGGAGTATAATAAATAACTTACGAGAAAATAAGTAATAATTAGGTGACTATATGTGAAATTATGGAAAGTTTAACATTCATTTTGGTTCCTTTAACTATACATACATTCATCATACTTTATGTGTAGGAAGAAGTGGAGTAGAGGTCTATAAGGGTAGTAGAGAAAATAGTGGAGCTAATAGAAGTTAATACCCCATTTAGAAGCATATTTAACAAGCTCACTCATCTCTTCTTCGTTGATATATCCATCTTTATTGATGTCAGCATGACGAATGGTTTTGCCTGCCCTCCATCTACAAAAGCTTAAACCCATTTCTTTAAATGCTAGTTTGAGCTCTTGTTTGCTGATTTTTCCATCTCCATTCTTGTCATATTTCTTCAAATTTTGTTTTAGTTGCTCCTCAGATATTGGCACACTTACACCTTTCCAAGGCATTTTCTTAATGTTAAGTTATATGAACAAGAGATATACTTCAATTCCTATATATAAAAGCTAGGTTGAAGGGGAATGTGTTAGTTTTTTCTCTCACTTATTAGGGATTATTAGAATTTATGCCTTTTCCTTTCCATTGGATGTTTTTGGAATATATTTTTTTTCATTAGCTAGGATAAGAATGGAGACGACGTGGGGTCAAAATTATTCTAAAGAATGTAAGAAAAGAGAAGAAACAATGGCTAGAATAACTCAACCCCCTCGCCTCCACTAAATTTGACTCATATGTGTTGCAATGTAGGGGTGTAAAAATGAGCCCAAATATAGATAATTTTCTATCTATTTAGAATTTTAAGCATAGAGTTTAAGATAATTTGAATTGAGTTCAAACTTAACTCATTCAAAGCTTAACTCATTTTAAGAAAATTTTTAGTTGAACTCAATTTAATCTTCAATTTTAGCCTATTTTAAGACTTTTTAGTTGCATTGATGTAATGTATTACTCTCTATTTTATATCTTTTAGAATTTATTCATCCATTTGTAATTTTTATTTAAAAAAATAATGCTTTAGTTGAATTTAAATTGTGGTTATAAAAGTTCGATAATAATATGTTAAAATTATTGAAATTAAAAGATCAAATTGGGTAGGTCTTGACTCAGCCCGATTTTTAGCCCAATCCATTTGAGTCCAAAGTAAACATGGGCGGATCAAAACTCAACCCAATTTCTATTTCAACTCATTTTAATATAGAGCAACTTTCACATATAGCAAACAAAAAAATCATATTTGTATGCTATAACAAAGTTTGTATAATTGCGCTCCATAGCAAACATATATTTGTATAATTCGCTATACATATACAATTGAAAGCTGTCTATTTCGCTATACATATATACAAAAAGAAGCAATTGTATAATTCGTTGGCTCCTCTTCAGATTTGTATAATTTCGCTGGCAGGCCATTTGTATAAATTGTTGTTAGCCTCTCGTTTGTATAAATTGTTGACAAAAATATTTGTTTATCAAAAATCGCTCTCTCTTTCGCTTTATACAAA